AATGGAAGGTACTCAGAGAAGTCACACAAAGGGGCAAACCCACTCTTGCAACATTTCCCAATATTGACAATGACACTGAATCTCATGGATGCTATAATTTTTCATTACAAAGGGAGATTTTATAGAGATAACAACAGCAAATATTAATTTTAAAACTATAAAATTTAGCACTCTAACTGGCCATTTGCTGAGACCCATAATTTCCATAAAATTCACCTTTGTGTTCTCCCCATGTAATGGTAAGCATAACACAGAAGGCCCACCCATAACAATAAAACACAAAGTAAGTCTATTTCTGACCCTGCATTGAGTTTTTTTTACACACAAAATTGTCCATGGGAATATAAAAAGGAAACACAAAATTTCTACCCACAGGCTTTGAAATCAAGATAAGAGCTACACATGAAAAATCTATTCCCTACCAACCACAAAGTCCTATCCATTTTTACTTGCTACAGACTCATTAGTCTGTTTACTTTTATTTACAGTGTCATTACTTGGTCCAAGCTATGATCCAAGTTGGCATAGAATACTACATTAGCCTCCCACCTGATATTCCTGGGTATCTACAGCCCTCACTCCCACCGCCTCATCTCACACACCCTCCCCATTCTATCCTTGTTCCTCCCTTGCATTTGCCATATGCTTTCTTCTACCAGAAGGACTTCCCTGGAATGCTCTGTCCATCCTTTGTTACTCATTGTTCAGTCTGCAGCTCCATTCCCCCACGGAAGGTTTTCTGACCTCCCATTATATGCTCTTGTGTTCATATGGCATGACTATTTGATTTAAATTGTCTAACTCCCCCCCCCCCACTCCTACCAGCCTGTATCATGAGGGCAAGAACCACATTTGTTTTGTGTCTTCTTGACTCCCTAAGCTAGCATTGCACCTGGATCTATAGGCTGACTTTCAACTACTTATTGAATAAAGATTTGAGAATAGTTTTAAAGAAAAATGCTCATTAAGGCAAATGAATCAAAGTTACTTTTCTTCACCATCAATAAGGCATGTATGCACATCTTGCTGTTCCATGGTGGGAGTGATGAAGTCACACTGTTCCAACCACCTGCTCAAGTCCACGTGAAACATACAGGTGTTAAATGGTATGTTAGCTGGAATTGTGGCATCTTAAATATGGTCTTTGACAAAATAGGTGACAGCTAATTGGCTTTGCAGACCATAAACCCATGAACCAAGCTTTACAAAAAGTAATCTTAATCAGGTTAGTTAATGGGTCATAATTACTCAACAAACAGACAAAAATCTCATTAAAATGATTGCTACTAAAAAGTACATGTTTCTCTCTGCAGCAGAATTTTGTTGTATAGTCCCAGGTTTGGAAATGAAAAAATAGTTATTGCCTAGGCTGGCTGGCTGGCTTTTAGAGATAGATATCCCAAGAAAATGCAGTGTGTTACCAAATAATATATACTGAGTGCAGCACAAGGAAAGTACAATAGCCCTCCCAAATATTACAGGCACCACATACAGCCTTCAGCCACTCTGCTCTTGCCTATCTTCTGAGACTGTCAGTTACAGGCTGTTTCTCTGGCTGAAGTAGCTGCTACTATCCATGCCCTCTTTTCTTACCTGGCACTTTACTGGCACTCTCCAAAAACTTCACCCAATTAGTGGCATGCTGTCAATAAACACCACGGTTCTTATAGTTTCAACAGTACCCTGAGGTTGGGAGAGTTGGAACCAGGATTGGGGAGCTGGAAATACATCCAGAAGTTAGAACTCAAGCTTCCCCATACAAGAAGCAGGTCATGGATTTGCAACTAAGAAGACACAAACCATCAGCTTTCACACCTATAGCACAGTGCATCTGTCAACAGGACACTCACTGTAGTTTAACAGGAAGACCATTATTCTGCCGGGGACCAATCAGGCAGTGAGAGATCTAGTCTTAGTTCTTTCCCTAATTGCAATAACAGGGGCAAATCACCTAACTTTTGTTTCCCATCTGTAAAACAGAGGGCAAGTGCTAGATCAATGTTTTTCACCAGGAATGTTCCCCCAGGAGACAGTTGGCAATGTCTGGAAATATATTTGCTTGTCACAGCTGGGGAGAGGGGGTATTAATCATATTTATTTTCTGTAATTTTAGGATGCTTTGACATCTTGGACACCTTGCTAGTCCTGGAAAGACTGTCCCTCTAGGACTAGTTCATTCCTAGGGTAGCAAACAACACCCCCTTCCCTCCACCAGAGTGTCATTCCTGGGAAAACCAACTAATCCAGAGCCCATTCCCCAACCCCCTCCTTTCTCTCTCACACACCAAGCCAGCATTTCCCCTGCCCTAAATCATCCAGGCCAAGTACCAGCTAACTAGAGGCTACTCCTATACCCGAGCCCACTGAAATTATTCAAACTATCCAATCCTAAACTTGCTCAAACTTGCCCACCCTGTCTCACCCAATCCTTCCCTCAGATACTACCGTAAAGGTTCTGGACCATGCTTCTCCTTGCTCTTTTTCCCCTCCTGACCAACTTGGGTGCTTCCTTGTGTGGCCCTTTGTGTCATCATGTGCTTCCTGCTCTTGGGAACTGTCAATAATAAACTCTTCTTTCAAGGTAGTTGTCCCTATCTAAAATTTTAGGGTAACTGATTGAAAGAAAATCTCAGGTACGTTTTAAAACAGAAGGTGTGCTACTGACATGGATCAAGCAGAGGCCAGGGATGCTGTAAATAGTCCACAATGCACCTAGCAGCGCTTATAACAAAGAGGCATCCAGCCCCAGTGTCAATGGAGCCACAGCTGGGAACCTCTGGATTAGACAAGCTCTCATGCGTCTCCCAGTTCTACAACCACTTGATTCAAGTAGGTCTATAGGTTGAACTGCCTGTAGAAAATATTGCTGTGACATGATCAAGACATGTTATCCTGAGTTGGATATTAGACATATTTCCCTTATAGTCACAATTATCACTAAGAGTTTTTATCTACAGTACAAACACGTTATCCAAGTGCTGAAGTCATGCTGAGAACAGGAGTATAATTCTCAATAAAAATTCAAAAACATTCCAGCAGGAAATAAATATGTGGCAATAACAAGAACAATTTCACAAAATAAACTCTACCTTGATACCTAGAAGGCACTAAAAATCTGTGTCTCAGCATAAAGGAACATGGTAAAGAAAAGAAGCCTAACCAAAAAAACAAACAAACAAAACCACAATTAAAAAATGGGCAGAGGTTTACATGTGGACCAGAGCACCCTTAGAAGTTTCACCAGAAGGGTTAGCAGGGCTTAGGGGGGGCCTCTGCCATGGGTGCTTGTAGACATGGGCTTGAGGGACAAGGGGGAAAATAGACAGAGGACCTGGACAGACATTTTTCCAAATAAGACATACAGATGGCCAACAGGCACATGAAAAGATGATCCACATCGCTAATCATCAGGGATATGCAAATCAAAACCACAATGAGATATCACCTCATAGCAGTAAGAATGGCCACTGTTCTAAAGACAAGAAATGACAAGTGTTGGAGTAAAGAGAACCCTTTACTGTTGGTATAAAACATAAACTGGTGCAGTAACTATGGAAGCAGTATGCAGGTTCCTCAAAAAACTAAAAACAGAAATACCATACAACCCAGTCATTCCACTTACAGGAATTTACCCCCAAAAAACAAAATCCTTAATTCAAAAAGATATATGCACCCCTATATTTATTGCTGCATTATTTACCACAGTCAAGATATGGAAGCAACCAAAGTATCCATCAACAGATGAATGGATAAAGAAGATGTGGTACATATATACAAAGGAATAGTATTCAGCCATAAAAAAGAAAGAAATCCTGCCATTTTCAACAATACGGATGGACATAGGGGGCTTTACACTTTGTTAAATAAGCCAGGCAGAGAAAGACAAATACCATATGATTTCACTTATATGTAGACTATAAAAACAAAACAAAACAAAATGAAGAGAACAGCAATAGACTCACAGACACTCACAAGTGATTGGTAGTTACAATGGGAGAAGGGTTGGGGTGGGTAGGTTAAACAGGGATAAAGAGGCACAAAAATCTCAATCATAATATACATTAGTCATGGGGATGAAAGTACAGCATACAGAATATAGTCAATAGTTCTGTAACATCTTTCTATGCTGACAGATAATATATTTGAAATCAACAGATTTCTATGTTGACTAGTTGGGGTGGGGATTTAATAAAGTATATAATTATGGAATCACTATGTTGTATACTTGAAACCAATATAATATTATACTATCAAATATACTTCAATTTTTAAAAGTGTATCAAAAAAAGGGAAAAGAAGCTTGGCAAATGACCATTATCTTCAGGTTAGGAGGCAATAACATTAGGGTTCTCCTTTCACTGCTTCTCCTCTCCTCCTCATGCATACCAGGGAATAACAAAGGGGTCAAGGGTCTCTATCTTAGCCTTGTGCAATTTATAAGACAAGTAACATGTACTTTGCAAATTAAAACATAAATATATATATTCAGGTCTGCTCCATATAGATTGCAGTTTTGCTGAGAGTCTACTTACATCTACCGGACCAATGACTACAAACTTACTCAATTTGGTCAACATCTTTCAGAAAGATAACAATTACATTTAAGGGCATGAAGAACCTTCTAGAGACACTAAACTGAAGCCATTATGATACAGAAGCTCTTAAGAGGCACAGAAGTTGGTATGCATCAAAGAGCTAATCATCTCCTGCATTTTACCAAAAACACTCCTCCCTGCTGGGAGAGAAAAGATTTCTTACAGGAAAGAACATTTCAGGAGATGTTTCAAAATAAAAGATGTTGAAAAAAAATAGAACAGGCATGTCAGTAGGTAGAGATAAGGAGGCAGAAGCGGGGAATGTGGAGAGGTGGCAAAAAGTTCATTTGGATAAAGAGGAGGGGGGGTTGGGAGTACTAGGGAAAAGTCATGGAAAAAGCTCACTGCTCAGAGGCAGCTACTTAGTTTCAAAGAGCTTGAGAAGTTTATTTCATTAGCTCCTACCTCAGGATCAAGATCATCCAAAACAGTTTCCAGTTGTTTCAGTTCTGTTTCTGACAGATTCCCAAGGAGCTCATCTTCGTCTAGGTCCTTGTACTTCTCTAAGTCCTTCCGGAATGGTAGTGCCATGATTTGCAGTGGCCGAAGTCACTTATTTTTTGCTATTCAGTATAGACAGAAGTGAGTTTTACCTTTTTTTAAAGCTATGGAGAGAAGAAACAAACACATTTAAAATATTAAGTCATTTCCATCAACTTATATCTATTATTAGTCTAAATAAAATGTAATTTCCATGCATCATATATTCTTTAACCATATATCACACATCATCTTTGTGGATCACTCAATGCCTTTATCATTGTCTTCTGTTGATCAAAAAAAAAAATCAAGTAGGAAAAAAAGGAAGAAGAGGAAATAAAACTCAAATCCATTAAAACAGCTACTTGATAAAATTAGTAATTTCTGATAACCGAGTTTTGGGGGAAAGAACTTACAATATGTGCCAAAATAAAACTTTTCCATCAATGACTTTCAAATTATTGCTGCAAGAGTACTTTTTTCAAGCACAGTATATTTAAGGCATGTTTGTTTTATTGTATATAGTTTATGAGAATATTTTCTGACTCAATATTAATATGGGGGATATTAATATACTCCCCGTGTGAGGAATGGCATCTTGTAACTGGAAAAAATATTGTTTGAAAAGGTGCTTTAGAAAATTTTTTTGGAAAAGTTATTTTTAAAGGGAGAAAATACAGCATTCTGAAAATGTTTCAGTGCATTACTCTACACCATGTTGGGATATGTCACCCACTGATTGGCAAGGCTGGGCAGGAGGGTCTGATCTTGTCACTTCCTCACCATGGGGGTCTCACCCAAACACTATCGAGTTTCTCAACAAGCAACGTCTTTCCAGAGACAGCAGGACTGTTCTTTCAGAAAAGATACTTAAAACAAGAACCTACCCAAAGAGTGATGTAAAAATAAATACAAATTCTAGCCATAAATGTGGATCATTTGTTTCATGAAATGTTCCTATGTGAACAAGAAATAATCCTTAGTGATTTGGCTCAATTTTTCTTGGCTGCAAAACATCCAGTACTTCAAAGTTTTGACATATTTCCATTACCACCCACTTCACCCAAGGTTTCCCAAATTAATATTTTACCTAATATATTTTACTCCTCAAACCAGTAACATTTTATGGATCCTTTTAAGTGTTTTCATCTTCTAAGAAGAAAGGATGATTCACCACAGGGGTCTGTCAGCTAGTGATTTGACTAGCAACCACCTGGGTTGCAAATAACAAGCAAATTAAGAGAATACTTATGCAGATGTTAAACTGCAGGTCCCAGAAAGGGCTGGCTTACACCTGTTGACACCTGGTATCTCATCTGGTTTAGCAATTACCATGTATTTTTTTTTCTTTCTTTGGGGAACAAATTATTAACATTGCTGTCATTACTGAATTTGGTAAACCTCCATTTTGTACTTCCAACTTAAATATGGCAAGCTGACCAAGTATTCTGAGAGTGTATTTTCTCAAATATAATACAGTCTACAGAGAAGATTAATGGTTGGTATCAGCACTTCCAAATACATTAACCATCAAATGCAATTTTAAAGGTGAATAAAAAATAAGACCATTGTGGATAAAGTGAAGGTTCCTGTGGCCAGGATTCTCACCTGGCCCTGGTTGGCTAGCTCACTACACACATGTGGGCAATACGGTTATTGACTCTATATAAAGAGCCCTGCCTAGTGCTCTGTGCAACATGGTGGCACAGCTGCAAGGCTGCAGCAGAACAGAGCAGAGGCTGGAATAGTAGGAGCGCTTAGAACAGAGTCAGAGGAAGGCTATGGCTGTGCAGGCCAAGAGGGGATAGCTGTGTGGGCAGAAAGGCCCAGAGGCAGAGACCAGTTTGCTGCATGCAGACTCGACCTGAGTGAACGGGATTTTAGTGACTGACCTGCCACCGTGGAAATAAAGTTAGTATAACCCTTTCACCCCAGGAACGTTTTACTGTCATTGCTTTGGTCACATTGAATCCATAGTGAACTTGCCCAGGGCTGAAACCCACTGACAAGACAACCATCTGGAAAAAATACCCCCTAAATGAAAATATTTATGAAAATTACATGGTATTTTAGATAATGGTAAGAAAGTAAAAGAAGTACATGAATATGTACTAAGAGTAATTATTTAGCTTATCCTATTTTTTAATGTTGGGATAACCAATATAAAAAGATTTCAATGTGGTTTAATATAATTTATTTTTGAGGTTTATAATATATAATAAAGTCAATTACTTAGTCAATAAACATTTCAAAGAAATACATATTATTTTAATTACTTTGAGCATCACCTCTCTTTATTCTCAAAAGTGTTCCAGTATGGGCCATAAATTCAATGTTCATCCTACTAATAATGGACAATATAGTAGCAATGAATACTGGGGCAAAGGTGATGTTATATGCCCTCCAGGTTCTAGAAATCTGGAACAAGACATTTCTTGGAGTGACTTAATAGCTTAGTCTAATAGATCGCTCTTTATCCCAAAGTAAAAAAATCTGTCACACAAAGCAGGTTATAGTATTACTTAATAATAAAATGAACACCCTTGAATGCACCACCCAGCTTCAGAAAGAGACCGATACCAGTACTGTCATGTTCCCCTTCACAGTCGTATCTTCCTTCCTGAAAGCAGCAGCCACTGTACTGAAATCTGAATTGATCATTCTCTTCTTTCCTCTTTGGTTTAACCTTATACATAGCCCTAATAGCTTTAAGCTTTGTTTTTGCATTTTATATAAATGGACTCATACAGTAAGTATCTTTCCTGCTCTTTATCTTTCAGTATGTGACTTGCTTTTTTCCACTCAATATTGTTCTGAGTTCATGCTCATATAATGAGAGCTATACTTCCTTCATTTTTATTTCTATGTAGCATTCCATTGTATACACGAACATGTGAATTACTTGGGAATTCCTCTCTAGCTTTCTTCTATAAACAATCTTGTTACTTATTTCCTGGTATACATGTGCAAGAGTTTTCTCCAAGTTGTTCAAACTAGGAATGGAACTGCTGGGAAAAGGGTATGGTATTACTCAACTTTACTAGGTAATATAAAACTATTTTCAAAGTGGTTGTATCAATTTACATTCCTGAAGATTCAGTACATGACAATTCATGTTGTTCCTTGGTAACTGTTGGTATTAATGATATCCTTATCAATGTTGCCATATCCTTGTATACACCTCCATTTTAACCATAGGTTGTACGTAAGTATCTCCAAAACTTAAGGGTGTAACTGATGATATCAACATTAAATGGTAAGAGAATGCTTCCCAAAGAAGCAGAGAGAATACATATAGAATGGTGGTAACATAACTCAAGAAAGATAGCAGTAAGCATGCAGGTGTAAGACAGTGGCATTCATCAAGCAAGACTGGCTTTGTTCATTATGGTCAAGGGAAGCATGGTGTACTGACCAGCAGATGGAACTGGCTGATTCCCTGGTACTGAAAAGCATTAGGGGACCAAAGCCTGATGCCATGCAACATTTGCATCACCCCATGCTTCCCCTTTCTGTTTTCCATGCTTGCCAAGTAATCTAACTAAAACTTGGCTATTCACATAGCTTTTTCACTGAACATTAATACACTGACATTTGGCATATGTAACAATCTTTTATTAGTATGGTTAGCGTGTATCACTTTTTAAGAGACAGGGCACCTATTAGTGGATTGAAATTAGGTCTCTGCAAAGGTGAAACTGATGTTCACAACAATAAGTCCTATACTAGGGTTGTCTGGCCAGCTACTCCTAATGACACCTATCTCATGTCAAACCAACAATGACACTGTAATAGAGGTCATCATTCATTTGTGTCCCTTACTAGACTCTGTAAGTACCCTGAAGAGCAGAGTTTCTCCTGGATCTCATTCCTTACTGAGTTGACATCGCCAGGGACAGTACCTGGTGGCACACAGGTAAGCCAAATTTGGTTTAATTGGATCATATATCAGTCTCTCCTCTACCCCTTCCTTTTTCTGTAATTGCCTCATCATTCCCCAGTTACCTAGCATCCCTCTTGCTCCTTAACTTTATTCCTCTTATCACAATGGAAAAGACACAGTTAATTTGTCTTTGATATTTCTGTTAATCCTTTGCAGCCTCTGTACCTTTTCTTCCCTCAGGGTCAACCCATTTTGGCTTGATATTCATCATTCTCTGCTATTTAATCTTCCCCAGTTAAAACAAAAAACATCTGATTATCAGTCATCAGACCCCTGAAATTACATAATATTTACATATATAGAGTATGTATAATATTGTATGTAAGTCCTGATGAAAAACTGAATTTCTGAAGAGAGAACCAAGATGGTGGCGTGAGTAGAGCAGTGGAAATCTCCTCCCAAAACCATATATATTTTGAAAATACAACAAATACAACTAATCCTAAAAGAGAGAGACCAGAAGATACAGGACAACAGCCAGACTATATCCACACCCGCGAGAACCTAGCACCTTGCGAAGGGGGTAAGATACAAGCCACGGCCCAGCGGGACCTGAGCACCCCTCACCCCAGCTCCCGGCGGGAGGAGAGGAGTCGGAGCGGGGAGGGAGAGGGAGCCCAGGACTGCTGAATACTCAGCCCCAGCCATCCGCACCAGAGCGCAGACACAGTGCGTGCATGGGGTGCTGGAAACTAGGGAAGCAGGACAGTAAGACCTGTGAGCGGGTCCCTGCAGCTGGCGAACCCAGGACAAAGAAAAGCGAGTGTTTTTTGAAAGTCTTAAAGGGACAGGGACCCCAAAGCTGGATGGAAGTGCCCCGGGACACTTAGCCCAGAAGCTGGGAATCCCGGGGAACTCTGGGCACCTGAACCCCGCAGCGCAGCTTGGAGGCCCCTCACCACGATAAACAGCCTCCCGCCTGTTACCCCTCTGACACGGCTCCGCCATATTGGAGATGCAGCCTGAGGCAGGCCACGCCCCCAGCAACTGCAGAGCTAAATAAACTCCATAGCGGCCGGGCAAGATCAGAAGCCCCGTCTGCACACAGCTCCCCAGCACAAGCCGGTAGAGGCCGCTGTTCTCCCAGGAGAGGAAGGCCACAAACTGGCAAGAAGGGACTTTCTCTTACCCAACACATGCGCCAGCTCCCCACAAATATATCTATCGCCATGAAAAGGCAGA